TTCAGTTTTTTATATGAAAATTTTCATAACTTTTTAGTAAAAACTCTTCTCTTATAGTTCTTCTTTTCATATTATTACATTTTTTTAAAAAAAAATACAGTTTTTTTAACAATGAAAATTTTCTCAAAGAATTTTAGCCTCAATTGAATGTGAACCAAAAGAAATAAAGAGAAAAAATTCTCAATAAGCTCAATTAATTTTTTATGATTGATGAATAGTAAGCTCGGACCGATCCTACAATCCTGACCGATAGTACCATCATGTACGATCCTGACCCATCCTGACCGATCCCACTCTGATCCTACTGCAAAATTCGAGTTTGATCGATTTAAGATCGATTTAGACACCTACGATCCAGGATTGCGAGTTTGCAAACTATGATCTAGAATGAAGAATGACCTTCGGCGGCCACTTTTGAGGCAAAAAGAAAGCCGGCACTTCGTTGTCGACTATGGCTCCTCTTTTCAATCATCTGAGAGTATTGCCATGTTGAGAGACCAACGTCCTTTGAAGATCGGAGCAATAGTCGACAAGAGAGGTTCGAAGATCCAATGGTCAAAGTCGATCAAATATAAAGCTTGGATTCTAAGATGGAGTCGTCGGTGGAAGCCGTCTTCAGCAACAAGCTCCCTCCACCTTCGGAGTTGAAAACTGAAGCTAAAGTTGTCCACGGTAGCTCCAGGAGCTTCATTTTCGAAACCCGACCAAGCAACCATCTGCGGATGTTCGTCCTTGGCACATCGCCGGCAATGGTCAATCCCCACCGTGAAAAAAGCAACATCAATCATCATGGAACGAAGCCATCATCAGCGTCGATCATGTGCTGGTCTTTGGAAGCAGAGTCCTCAACGTCGGAAGCAGCGCCGCTCAAATGAACGTCGGCATCGATTGGCTTTAATTCTTCGGTTTCGTCAATTCCTGGTATTGGTCTGAAGCTTCGTTGTCGGCAGCCGACCTTGGGACGCAAGGAAAACCAGCTCCAACCTTTAGAAGGCAGCCTACAAACTTCGGCTAGGAGCCAATCCTTGGCCTGAGGTCGACTGGAGCTGAAGTCATGGGGTCAGTATCAGCAACGTCCCCCCCCCCCAATCTTCGGCCTGCTTGAACGACGTCGCCGTCGTCGCCACCATCATCAGGGTCTCAGCCACCATCGTCGCCAACTCCCTCTTCTGGAAACGAAGCAGCAGCAGCTTCGGCGTCGACATTAATCCACGGCCACTCGAACAAAAAGGGAACGGAAGCTTCATCCTCGCATGATTTGGTGTCATAAGGAATAAAGCTCCACCCCTGACAGCGCATAACACGGCAAAAAGACGACCATGCATCAAGCTTCGGTCAAACGAAAGCTTCGGGCGCCAAAAGTTGCAGAAAGTTCAAAAAGTTTGCAATCAGGACCCTGTACTTTCAACTAATCCTCTTCCGCCCAAAATATTTTGAAAATGTACAACTAGGCTCCCAAAATTTTGGAAATTGAAAAAAACCCCAATAGTTCAAAAACAAGCCAATCAGACCCCAGTTGAAGATTTTGGGGTCCATCTGGGAGCTATACAAGGCAATTGCAAGGATCTAAAGCATCTTTGGGGGTTCTCCGAAGCTATTGCTAGGCTATAAACCTACGCAACGATCAATATAAGTGTTTCTAACCACTTAATCACCAATTGATGGTCTATTTTTTTAAATAATTTTATTTTTGGGGAGGATTGGGCATATTTCCTCTTCATTACCATGATGAATATGTGAACTTGCATAGTTCTTTATATTATAATGAATGCGTCTAATATAAGTAGAGCATTAAACATTTCTTTATTGAAGGATAATTGGAATGTCATAGCTAATTTGAGTACACCATTATAGCATGACATGTAGAGAATAGAACTACCTTTAGTCCATGCTTGAATATGTGCTATATGTAACCCTACCCTCGGGGATATAAGGAAAAGGAAATAAAACTATATAAGAAAATACACACTCGTCCTTGGTGATATATTTGTACTTGGTGGTTTGAAAGGGTCGGTTGTTTTTTGAAAAATTCAAGCATGATATCATCCACCCTTCACCCCGAAAACCTCTTGTTGGTGTTTTAAAATAGATATTTCCAATTTCAAAGTCTTATGTTATTGAATGAAAAATTATGTCTTCTACTTCGAACTCTTGTGCTTGTGTTTTAAATAAAGGTGACCTTTTTCTCAAGGCTTTGTTGGCAAGTGTATGGGGTGGTATATGTTATACTCTGAAATGCCTTTGTTTGTACTTAGACAAAGTGATAACCCCATCATAAAATCCTGGCTATATACAGGTATCATCCGACCCTGAGGCCTACTGGGGACAACCCTGAGGTTAGGATGACCCTGAGGTCCACCGGGAAGACCCTGAGGTCGAGGTTCATCATATCTGACCCTGAGGTCGAGGTCCACCATGTCAACCCTGAGGTCGAGGTCAACCATGCCGACCCTGAGGTCGAGGTCCACCAAATTTGTTTCTTAAAGGCTCAGTCTTAGATCTCATTAAACTCGTCCAACTCTGCTAGCGGTCGATGGCTCGATCCAAAAAGGCGAGTCTGGGACTCTATCAAAGTCGTCCAACCCCACTGGCGGTCAACGATCTGACCCTTCAAGGGCTCCCTCTCGAATCTTGGAAGGATGTCTGACTCCGCTGGCGGTCGATGGTCCAAAAGGGGAGCTTCGGGCTTTATTCAAAGTCGTCCGACCCCGCGGGTTGACCTTGTTAAGACTTCCTACTTAAACCATAACTATATTAACGAGATTGTTGGACACGAGTGGTTGAACAGTTAAGTAAAAACTTTTATAAAATTCTGAAAAAGTACAAGGAGTCAAGAGTCAGACAAAATAAGATGCCTTTACACATCGACTTGAATCCCTACGTACAAATTCCTAAAATCTAATGATTGTTCACCTCATACTCGACGAAGTCTTCATTGCTGAACTGAACTGCGAATTGTTGGTCCCTGTCACGGTCGACCTACTTGCGTCTTCTCATGGCTAGCCACCCTCCAAGGACTCCGTTCACAGTCGAGCCATCAACTCCGCCTCGTCATCTGGACCAAGGGGAGTTGAGATGGGAGATCCGACGTCGTCCGGCAACTTGTATAGGAACGAAGGCGGCTGACCTATCTGTAGAAGATCTTCGGGAAAAGTAATGGTCAGAAAAACCTTACATATCTCCTCGAAGAATTTCATTCCGCTCAGATCCATGTCCCTAAAGAATTTTCTGGCTTTACGACACAGGCGGATCTGTGTGGTCGCTCCATCCATGGCCTCGTCTGAATACTTTTCATCCAGGGCGTGAACACTTTCCCCTGCGTGCAGGGCATCCCCGACCAATTTTTCATGTTGTCTCATTCCCATCTCGATCATTGGAGTCATGATCTGGTTGACCCCCCTAGTGAATGCCTGAGAGTTAAGGTAAACCCTTAAGGCAGCCAGTATGTATTTGTGGAGGTCCAACTTCGAGACCATCGATTCCCTCAACTTGGCCATCATTGCCTCCTTGACTTTTGGCGTCATTGTCTCCTCAACTTTGGCGATCGCTTCCTTGTGGGCCTTTGATTGGTTGTCCAGTTTTTTTCTCATGGATTGAGCTTGCTTCTTCCAGTGTGACCTCTCCTCTTGCAGCTGGTCGATCTCTGCCTTCGCCTTTTTAAGGTCGTCTGTTTTCTCCGTCACGGCCTGTTCATTCGTCGTTACTAAACTATCCAATTTTCTGGCAAATTTGCCGAATACAGCCACGGCCTGAAGAGACTGAAAAGGGCCTCTGGTTAAGAATAATCAAATCACTTGTAAAAAGAAGGTATAGTCGAGGCTCACCTGCATCATGAAGTCATCTATTTGAGGGTTGTCCGGGATGTGAATTCCGGATCTATCACCCTCGGAGGGTTGAACTTTGCAAATGCATGTCCTAGGGGCACATTCACCGCCTTTGCAGGACGGGTAAGGAGACCCTTGTCAGTATAGGTCTCCTTCAACAGTTCGTCGGGTGTAAGACCCGACTTCCCTCCGACCGTCGTATTGATTGGGACCACCGTTGTATTAAACTTTACCTTTTTCGGATCCCTCCCTGAGAAGCCGGCGGACGTTTGTTCAAAATGGAAGGCCCTGAATCCTTGCGCTTTTCAGGAATCAGAGTGCTAACCATTGTCTTGCAGGTCCCCGTCCTAGTTGACCGTTGACTCGTCGCCATCGGGATTTGCCTTCATCAATCGCCTTATGTTGTAGTCACGTGCTTTGACATCATCTGAAAAGCTAAAATCGATGGCAAAATTCAGGACAGACAACAAAATTGAGCAATTTTAACCGTTAGAGAACAAATGGATCAGCTGCCTAAGTTGAAAGTACTCCAAGCAAGTAGTAGTAGTATAACTACATTGATTTGCTTTGCAATTTATTCTTTTTGGTGTTATTGAAGAAGAATAAACCGACTTCAAGGATTAATATGATGTCTTTGCATGTCTGAAGGTAGCAAATTGTCCACTTGTGATGAGATTTAGAAAAGCCGAGCATATAAATTTATCAAAGAAAAATATACAAACCAAAGAGGTTGCGGTACAAGTGGGAAAAGATGTGAACAGGATTTATTATATATGACCCCGGAATAAAATTCTGGCATGAACATCCAAGAAGTATTTTTGTTAGAAAAAAGAAAGATAAATTTGAAAAGGATGGCGCCAAGGATGGTAAAGTGGAGAGCTATTGATCCCTTTAAAAAAGAATTAAAAAAAAATCAAGAGGTATAAAAAAAAATCAACAAGCACCAAATTATTAGTACTAAAACTTACTAATAAGCCAGTATATATACGTTTAATCACATATTGCTATTCACATAAAACAACAAAACACACAAAGACACACACACGCATACACACAGATAAACCAACTCAGCGAACACCTACTTAAGCAAACCAAAAACCTAGAGCCCATCAAATCAAATTCAGCAGAAACCAAATTTACATAATAATAGTAAAGAAATTGTCTTCTTTCAGCAAAATGTTCTTCACTAAAACGCTAATAATCATTTGCCTATGGGGCTTTTTTGTGAGTGGAACTCCAAACACAGGAGTTTTTCACGAAGAATGCAGTGATTTCATTTACCCAGCAGGTTCTCCTTATGAAGACGGAATACTTTACGTTTTGGGTGAAGCACGAAAAAACACACCGACTTCAAGCTCATACGAATATTCTGTTGCCACACCTCCGCCATTTGGAGCCAATGGTTTCGGAAGATGCGCTCCGCCGTTGACTAGTGACGATTGCTCCACTTGCATGACTGCTGCTTGGGTAGAAATCGCGATCCGTTGTGGCGGTCACTCTTCTGGTAAAGTTCTGCTCGTAGATTGCGCAATTGGATACACGAGTAAAGCTGCTATTGATTAACTTTTCACTCTCGATTTCCTCCTCTCCAGCTTTCAAACATTTAACCTTTGAAACAAGAAATGTATGACGTTATCACGACCATGACCGACTGGAACTATGTTGATTCTTAATTTTGTCATGCAAGGAACTCTGGTCCCAGAAAAATAGGTCACTCTGTGTTCGTAAGTTAAATTGAACGGTTTTTTATGTTTGTGAAGTGTAGAGAGTATGTATTCATTACAATTAATAAGTCTTTGATTGTCCTATTCCCGATCAAGAAACTATATTATAGCGTGTATGCATGTTGCTTGATTTGGAAGTATTTGGGGTGGAAATATTCTTGTTTTATATTTTCAATTATTGTACTGTTTGTAATTTTGTCTGCAATCCTCATTACTTAAAATCATGAAGATTCAGTCACCATAACAATGTTTAACAGAGTGAAGGTTTGAAATTTATCGGATAAGTTTTTTAATGTGTTCTTGATTGGGTCAAACAATTGGCACATGATTAATAAAAACTCATGGCCCATGCTTAGTTGATATTCGGCATGAGTTTCCTGAGACTAATTTCATAACAGATTATCCGCTTCTTTAGCTGCTCAAGGCTCAGGTGGCGGTGGGACGCGGTGGCCTGCGGCTCTAGCTCCTCCAGCTGCAGTTTAACCATGGGTCCATCATGGTGTCTTAGGATTTTGTAACTTCATAATGTAATCACTTGGCTGTGGGGCACGAGCCTCCTTCATTTGTTCCAAGAAAAAAAGTATCATGATAAATTAGCAGTAATAACACAATAGCAGTAGCGGATCTAATATTAACAAACACTAGAGGCCGTCAACGTATTAGCAGAGAAAATAAATAATATTATTGATTTTTATCACCATGAATTTTTCGATATTGATGAATTTTTGAAACTGTTTTCATAGTATTGTATATGCATACTACATCGTTGTTGTTTAACATATAAAGTAAACTTGATAGATACTCATACATTCAAGAGCTACACATTTAAAACTCTTTCTAGAGCTATTAAATCAATAAACAAAATCAAAACTAGCATTTCGTAATAAAATTTTTTGAACAAAATGCCTATAAACATGAAAGAAGAAAAAAAAATGTTCATGCATCTTTATGAACCCACGAGGATTATATATCTTCTGATCATTATATTACATAAATTTATGCATCATACGTAATTCAAGTTTATATAATTTGCAACTTTATTTGATTTTTTTAATGAATAAATCACCTACTATTACACTTAGAATAGGGAAACTGTATTTGATTCATAATAATATTGTGCACAATATACAGACTATATATAGACAAGAACAAATCCTAATCTAGGACATAATAGGAAATATACTAAATATTACAATACGCCCCCGTAAACTTACGGCGGAGAAGAGAGAAGCCGAAGTTTGTCCCGAAATCGAAAGAATAACTCTTTGGACAAGGGTTTTGTCAGAATATCAGCAAGTTGATCAGCAGCAGAGATAGAATTGACCGAAACAAACTTACGCCGAACATGATCTCGAACAAAGTGAAAATCAACCTCAACATGTCTTGTACGAGCATGGAACACAGGATTGACAGCAAGGAAAACTGCACTACTGTTGTCACACCAAATAGAGGGAGGGCGATTTAAAGAAACGCCTAACTCGGACAACAGATGACACACCCAATGCAGTTCAACACAGACATTAGCAACCGCACGAAACTCAGCCTCAGTAGACGAGTGAGCCACAGTGGGCTGCTTCCTAGAAGCCCAGGAAATGAGATTAGGTCCCAAATAAACGAGAAAACCAGTAGTAGAACGATGATCATTCGGACAACCAGCCCAGTCACCATCACTAAACGCAGTAAGAGTACCCAAATCTGTAGGATGCAGAACTAAACAGTAATCAACGGTACCACGAAGATAGCGAAGAACCCGTTTGAGAGCCTGAAAATGAGAAGTGCGAGGCTGATGCATGAACTGACAAAACTTATTAACCGCAAAGGAGATATCTGGACGAGTAAGAGTAGTATACTGCAGACTGCCATACAGCCGACGATAAGGAGTCGCATCATCAGGAGACAACAGAGTACCATCCAAACGAGACAACACAACATTAGCCTGCAAAGGAGTGGAAACAGGTTTTCAAGTATGCATATTTGCAAGTCGTAGCAAATCAGTGACATACTTGCGCTGAGAGAGAAGCAAACCCTTGGAAGTACGACGAACCTCAACCCCAAGAAAGTAACTCAATGGACCTAAATCCCGAAGAGAAAACTCCTTAGCAAGACAAGAGATAAAATGCTGGACCAAACCAGAAGTGCTGCCTGTAAGAATAATGTCATCCACATAGACCAGCAAAAAACACAACTGAGACCCACGGCGATAGACAAAAAGAGACGGATCACAACGAGACTCCACAAAACCCAAGGTAAATAGAAATGCTGCCAGCCGAGAATACCAGGCCCGAGGAGCTTGCTTAAGACCATATAAGGACTTATGCAGTTTACACACATAATGAGGGCGCACCGGATCAACAAACCCCTGTGGCTGAACCATATACACGGTCTCACTTAGAACACCATTAAGAAAGGCATTACTGACATCAAGCTAAGAAATTGACCATCCACGAGCCAGGGCAACAGTCAAAACTGAACGAATGGTGACCGGCTTAACAACCGGACTAAATGTGTCAGTGTAATCAACCCCAAAAGACTGAGTAAAACCTCGAGCCACCAACCGAGCCTTATACCGCTCAATGGAGCCATCAGCATGAGTTTTAATTTTATAGAGCCATCGATTGCCAACAACATTGCCGGAGGAAGGAGGGGGAACTAAAGTCCATGTGTTATTTTTGAGGAGGGCGGAAATTTCATCCTTCATGGCATTCTGCCACTGAGGAAGAGATTTGGCTTGGGTGAAGGATGTAGGAGCAGTAGACAAGGCTGGGGAAACAGAGGTAAGATGAGCCGAGGGATCAAAGATTTTCTTGGGCTTGGGTTGTGGACGAAGTGTCATTGAGTGCTGACGGGAAGAAGGAGGAGGAGGCGGCGGCGGAGGACTGCAATCAGATGAGGAAGAGGTGGATGCAGGAGATCTAGCTAAAGGTGAAGAGGCGGGAGGGATAGGAGGAGACGAAAGAACTGGTGTACTAGAAGGAGACGAAGAAGACGCAGAAGACGACGCAAGCATACCAGGAGAACTGGTTACACGCAACCAAGGGGTAGCAGGAGACTCCAGCAGCGAAGAAGGAGAACTAGAAATAGGAAGTTTAAAGGGAAAGAGTTTCTCATCAAACTCAACGTGACGAGCAACATAAAGACGGTTATTCACCACATCAAAACAGCGATAACCAAGATGAGATGGGAGAATACCCAAGAAAGACACACTGAGTAGAACGAAAAGAGAATTTATGTTTATTATAAGGGCGAAGAAGAGGATAGACAGCGCAACCAAAGACACGAAGAAAGGTATAATCAGGTGGCTGATGATATAGAGTAGTAAAGGGTAGGTGACCTTGAAGAGGTTTACTAGGGTGGCGATTAATCAAAAACACAGCAGTTTCAAAAGCAAAATCCCAAAACCGAAACGGGGTACTGGAATGGCCAAGGAGAGCAAGTCCAATATCGACAATGTGAAGAATTTTGCATTCAGCAGTGCCATTCTGCTCATGAGTGTGTGGGCACGCTAAACGATGAATAATACTGACATCCTTAAAGAAAGAATTGAGAGAACGAAATTCACCACCCCAATCAGAGTTAACACTTTTAATGGTAGTGCCAAATTGGTTTTCTACGAGAGCTTTGAATTGCTTGAAAACATGGACAACATCACTTTTATACTTAATGGGATAAATCCATGTGAATAAAGAAAAGTCATCAATAAAAAGCACAAAGTAGCGATAACCATTGAATGACAAAATAGGAGCAGGACCCCAAACATCAGTGTGAATTAAATCAAGAGGTTTAGAGCTACGATGAAAAGTAGAAGGTAAACTGACCCTATGTAACTTCCCTAAACAACACGCCTCACATTTATCAGTGGACGTGGACACAGAGGAATAAGGAAGTTGAAACTGCCTAACCAAAGTACGAAGAGTGACATTATTAGGGTGCCCTAAACGAGCATGCCACTGACCTAAAGAGACAAGATAAGCTGCTGGAGACAAGGAACCACGAGCAGGAAGATCTAAGCGATAGAGACCATTATCAGCCCGACCGCAGAGGAGGAGTTCCTTGGTTGAAAGATCCTTAACACAACAAGAGTCAGAATAAAATTCAAAAAAACAGTGATTATCACGGGTGAACTTTTGAACAGATAACAGAGGCTTAGTAAGAGAAGGAGCATGCAAGACACGATTTAAATACAGAGGACGAGAAAACGATGGCAAAATAGATTGACCCACATGCTGAATAGGTAAAGAATCTCCATTACCAACTAAAATGTGATCCGTACCAGTATAATCATTGGAGATACTGAGAGAGGACAAGTCTGGCGTGATATGATCGGTAGCACCAGTGTCCGGATGCCAGGGAGTGACAGAAGGGGCATACTGCGCCATATGGGCTTGAGGAGACATAGTCGACTCCGGGTAAGACGGAAGAGGCAACAAACCAGCTGAAGGCGGTGCAGGAGAGCCTGCCTGGGCATAAGCAGCCGACCGAACGGCAGGGGGTCGAGGAACAAAATTAGTATCAAAACGGCGTCGACAAGTGGCGGCCGTGTGATTCAAGATGCCGCAAAGCTGACACGTCTCACCCGGAGCGGGAGGGGTGTACCCACGCCGACCACCACCACGACCAGAAACCTGATTGCGGCGACCGCCGCGCTGCGAGCGACCGGCACGAGAGGATTGAGGCGGCGTAGGAGAAGGTGGCGACTGCACAAGCATGGCCGTGGGCTGAAAAACCGGTTGTTGGGTGTGAAGAAGCACCTCATACGAAACTAACTGTCCAAGGAGATCTTGATAGGAGGGGGGTTCGGATCGCTGTTGCAGAGCTCTGATGATGCCATTAAATTCGGCA